TTCCTTGCAGGGAAAAGGGGGTTATAAATATAATAAATAGATACATTGATGAGCAGTTAAGAAGACCTGCTGTATTCAAAGAGGACACCTGAATATGAGGAGCAGAGTAAAAACAGCAGGGGAGAATTATCTCGTTCGTGTTCTCTTGATGGGGATTTTCACACAAGGAATGCATTGTGTGCTTGGCATCCCGACTGTTTGTGGACTCTGGAGGAAACATTGCGACTGCCAAGTTCTGCTGCTGCTGCTGCTTCTAGCCCTTTTCTGGAGGATTTTAGAGCAGAGAAAATGGAGTATTACATAGAAAGTGAAAGAAAACGTATTTTCTTGCGTGTGCATTTGTGCTATTGACTACAGCTCAGAGCCACCTAGAGGCTGTGTCATGGAAAGCAGGAAATAGAGCTTTTGCACCTTTGCAGCGAGTTTAGCTCTGAAGGCTACAAGAAGTCTAAAAATAGATACTGTGATTAGCAGCCCCATCTAGAAAAGCTCGCAATCTGCCCAGGAACACTTGACAGGCCACTGTTGAAAACAGGATCAACAGTGGCCCTCCGAATGTCATTAGACTACAACTCCCATCATCCCTGGCTATTAAGCAGGTCGACTGGGCGAGATGGGGAGTTTAAGAAGAGGCAGCAGACTGCATTTCGCCCACCAATGCCCTCTGCACATCAGCCAGGATTCCATGGTAGAGGCACAGAGCGAGTCAGAAGGGGTCTCCTGGGCCATCTAGTCTGACCCCTGGCTCCAGCTGGCTCCGCTCATGACATGCCCACCATGTGCATGTCCAGCCTGTTTTGCAGCTTTCAGGAAGCTTTGCCATCTGAAGGGAAGCTGTGTTCTGGTCCAACTCGTAGTTTGGGTTGCCCAGGTTTGACGGGTTTACTTAAAAAAAAATTCCCTATCCTTATGGTATATGAGGAACTCAATGTAACATAGAAACATAGAAACAGAGAGAGTCAGAAGGAGCCTCCTGGGCCATCTAGTCTGACCCCCGGCTCCAGGCGGCTCCGCTCACAACATGCCCACCATGCAGATGTCCAGCCTATCCTTGAACACCCGCACCGATGGGGCCTCAACCGCCTCCCGGGGAAGCCCATTCCACACCCTCGGGGTCCCGACTGTCAGGAAGTGCTTCCTGGCATCCAAACGAAACCTTGGCTCCCTGAGCTTGGCTCCATTGGAACACGTCCTGCAGGGGAAAAAGGTTATAAATACAACCCATAATTTGACAAGTTCGGCACATTATTCAGCTTCCACGACTCATAACTTTGCATCGTTCTTTTTCAAAGAGACTGCTCTGTTCTGGGAGGACAAATATTTCCTCTTCGGCAGCCGAAGTGGAAAAGGCTCAGGCGACCGGCACCTGCCAGGGAGCTCGCTGCTCAGCGCTCCTGCAAGCTCCTGTCCTGGTCATGCACCCAAAGCATTTGTCTGTGAACTTTCTGAGCAGCCGGCCGGTGTTGCAGGCGGGTTCCTGGACTGGGGATCTCTGGCCCATGCCACATGCATGAGGAACACGGGCATCATGCCCCTGGTACCCAGCCTGTCCGTGGCCTGGACGCCTGCCCCGTGCGGGAGGTGCCGTCGCATGGCCAGAGAGGCCGCTCATGTGGGACCCCCCCCCCTTTGGAGCATCTCTCTGGTGCTGAAGTGCTTTGCTCCACAAGCATCCCCGAAAGTGACTGCAGGCAGGCAGGTCCTCTCCCCTTTCCCTAACTACAACTCCCATCATCCCCATCCTTTAGCCCTGCTGGCTGCGACTGCCAGGAGCTGAAGTCTATAAAAACTGGGGCACATGGTCCAGTTCCCACCCCCGCTCCTGTTTTTGAAGAGTGATTGGAAGGCCCCAGGTTGATGGTCGGGGTTCAATGATTAACTAATTGGCTACCCTGGGTGATGGAGCAGGTCTGTTCGGGCTGTTAGGGAGGAGGGGGAAAGCCAGTCATTTATTTCCCCAGCTGTGGGTGGGGGTGGGGGGTTGCATCAAACCCGGCTAGGAGGGCTTGTTGCTACAATTAGAAGGCATCCCGGACCCTGCAGTCTGTGGCTTCCCCACACGTGGCCCCCTGTGCTTTCTGAACCGCATCGCATCGGCTCGCAGCTACAGGTCGGCGAGGAGGGGAACCACACAGTCTTTAGATGCACACTCTACTTTGACATCATACAACAAGCGCAACGGAGGAGAGATGGAGGGAACGGGCCACGTTCAGCCCTGAGAAGAGGAGGCTGAGGGGGACATGGTGTCCCTCCAGAAGCACCTCAAAGGCTGTTCCAAAGAGGAAGGTCAAGGTCTCTTCTTGCTGATGCCGGAGCGCAGGACACGGAAGAATCAAGTCAAGCTGCAACAACCCAGATTCAGGCTGGACATCAGGAGAAGCTTCCTTACTGTCAGAGCAAAAGGGCAGTGGGACCAGCTGCCCGGAGAGGTGGGGGGCTCTCCCACACTGGAGGCATGCAGGGCGAAACTGGGCAGCCCTCTGAGTGGGATGGTGTGAACTGGTGTCCTGCAACAGCAGGGGGTTGGACCTGATGGCATTCGTGGCCCCTTCCAACTCTACTGTTCTATGATTCCATGATTCTAAGTATATTCCTACACACAAAACTGGATCGAAACATTTGCTGATTCTGGTTAGGACAAAACCCGCATTAATTTGCCTTAAACAACTGCCGAAACATGCTTTGTTTTAAGTGCATTGATCAGCGGCGGATCACTAACTCCCCAAAGCTTCCTCAATACAGAACCGAGAATCTGAAAGCACTCCACGGTGCCCAAAGAGCAGCCCCTGTCCTCCCTTATCCTGGTCCTTTCCTATCCCCACGCTGTTCACGGAACCATTGAGAGAGATAATTGGGGGCTATGGAGTTGGCACAACCAGTATGTGGGCACCACCCTGGCAACACTGGTGGGTCAAGAGGAGGTGGCTAAAAATCTCCGGTGATACCTGGATCCAGTGATGGATCCTGTAAGAGCGAATAAATGGACGTTCAACCCAAATAAAATGAAGAAGTCCCGAACATCTTAGCATAGGGGTTAAGTCATTTTCTGGACACAATGACATTCCTCTTAAGGTTCAGATCCAGCTTCCTAAAGCTGTTTTGCACAAAGCTGTTAATCCCTGTATTTACTTTCTGGGTTGTCACAGAACTGAGAATCGAGCGCGAGACAAAGAGTTTTTCCTTTCTTGCACTCCAGCTATACATCCTCTGCACCACAGTGGAATAGCACAGAAGTACAAATAGTTCTTTGCTTTCAGAAATAATAGCCTCTGTTTCCCTGTCCTAAAACAAGAGGAAGTGCTCTTTAAAACAAAAGACAAAAACAGAAGGAAAACTGGAATATCGCAGCCTCACCTAAAGAATGCGTAAATGGCCATGAATAACACATCATGAGCACGCAATTAAGGCCTTGTGTAGAAATGTTTCTGGATCCTCCAGGGCTAGCAGTCCATTACGACAGCATCTCTTGTCACATCACTTCCACTGACTCCTAGGAAGTGTTAAACTTGCTGCTGTTAAAGAAAGCAGAATTCCTACTTAAGGAATTCCTGGTTGTGGTTACTGTACTGTGATCTCCCAGTAGACCACAGAACAATACACTTAAAGACTAATCTAGGGGAAAAAAACCTGTTCAGATAATATGTGGCAGGAAATTTCCTGACTGGTTCCTGCCACATGAAACCATGACGACAAACCCAAGATGGTTTATCTGGATCATGGGTTCATCAGTCCATCTCCTGGTGCCATTCCAAGTGCTGCTTGAACTTTACGTTTTCAAATATATGCCCGCCCACCCCTTGAGATCTGCGGGAGAGGCCCTTCTCCGGGAACCCTCCGTGAAGGATATTAGGAGGGTGAGCACCCGGAGGAGGGCCTTCTCTGCGGTGGCGCCCAATCTATGGAATGCGCTCCCCAGAGAGGTCCGCCTGGCGCCGTCGTTATTTGTTTTTCGGCGCCAGGCTAAGACCTTTTTATTTAAGCGTCATTTTAATTGTTAATATTATTGGATTTTATCTGGCCAGGGCGACTTATTTTATATTGTTATTTTTGTGTTTTAACTTTATGTCTGCACTTTACAAACGTTTTAATTTAAGGGTATAACTTAATGTTTGTATTTTAACTTAATGTATTTGTATTTTAACTTAATGTTGTAAGCCGCCCCGAAGCTTCGGCGAATGGGGCGGCATAAAAATGTCTTAATAAATAAATAATAAATAAATAAATGACCCCAAAGGACCAACTGCTTCCCCGTGAACAGGCCTTGCTGATTCGCTTATCGTCCAAGATGCTGCTCCATGCTGTACCCACATTAGAGGGCAGGCTGGTGGTTCCGAGCAGCAAAGACTGCGCAGTAGTGGCCCCCCGGTTTCCAAGGTTCTCTCTTGCAGGAGCCCAGCACAAGCCATGCTATTTCAAAGAACTTTAGAGCAGGATTGAGAGACAAGGATCACAAATCTACACTGTGCATTAGCTTGCTGTTGTGCTATTCTTTTTAGCTCACTTTCTTCTGTTAATCAGTTGTCTTAAATTGCAAAAGAGCACTTTTTAAACTAATAAGTCATCATGATTTTTATGGATTGCGTTACCCTCCTGTGACTGAAGTGCTTGAAATAAATCGCCTACAGAAATCCTCCCATGGGCTAATTGTTCAGCCGCAGAGTTCAGCTCAAGGGTCACTTGGTGCAAAACAGAGCAACACGCATCAAGGGAGGGAAGCCCAGGCTTGCTTGACGCCATCCCACAATACACCTCCTCCTCCTCTCTGCAGCAGGCCTCAGGTGACCTTTACCTCACAACAAGAGCACGTCACAACAGGGGGTGTTGGCGTGCATTGACGGTGCCGAGGTGTCCAGCACCTGTCCACCGTGGGGAAGGTTTCCCAACCTCCGACCATCTACGAATGCAGAGTTTCTTCAGCTCTGTTGCTTTGCGGCCGTCTAAGGCTTCGCCCCCCCGGCTTCTCCCTCGCCGAGACCTCATTGCGCTCCTTCGAAGGAAGCATGAAGATCTCGACCTTGCTCTGTGCACTTCTCCTCCTCCTCCTCCTCTACCGGTCTGCCCCAGGTGAGAAACACAGGTGCGACAGAGAGGGGGCAAAGAGCCCAGGAGCGCCCTCTCGCTCTTGCCGACCTCCGGAGCCAAAAGAGCTAGGCAAAGCGTGCCTTGCAGTGGGTTCCGTTCTCCCATTTCCCCCAGAATTAACCAGCGCGGGCATAAGCAGGGCGGGCGGGCGGTCGCTGCTGCAGCTCTGGCTGGATTTTTAGTTCCGCTGGAGAGGTTGGCTTCTCTGGAGCTGCACCGAAGGCCAGAGGCCGTGGGGTGTGGAAGACCCTCACCTGGGGAGCGAGGCAGCTCGGGGCAATATCCTGGCTCCCTCCTCCTCCTCCATGGAACAGGCAGGCTCCCTTGCATCCAGGCCCTGGGCAGCTGGGGAAAGGCACACACAACAGCTGGAAACAGCCCGCACATCTGGCTCGGAGCTCCTGCAGAACAGTGCTGATCCGACTTTCATTTCACCGCATTTCTGAAATGCATTTTTGTTTTGTGTGCTGAACATTTAAAAAGAGCAAGGAAGAAGAGCAGCTTAATACAGGCCGATAAAAGAGAGGCACCGCTCACGGAACCTGTTTAAACCACTTGGAATTATTTTTATTATTTGGAGTAAACTTGCCCCACTCTTCACCCTCAAAGCCCCCCCCCCCCCAGAGTGGTCTACATAAGATCACAAAATAGAAGGCTGGCCTTACATTAGGCTTGCAGTATAAATGGCACAGCACAAAAGGAAAAATGAAAGTGGAAGGAAGAGGAAAACAAATTAATATAGGCAGAGTTTCTTATAAATGCAAAGCCCTGTAGCAACCAGTTTAGATGGAAGCACTTTAGGTAGTTGTTGTTGTTAGTCGCAAAGTCGTGTCCGACCCATCGCGACCTCATGGACAACATTCCTCCAGGCCTTCCTGTCCTCCACCATCCCCCGGAGTCCACCTAAGCTCACACCAACTGCTTCAGTGACCCCATCCAGCCCCCTCATCCTCTGCCCTCCCCTCCTTCTTTTGCCATCCATTGTTCCCAGCATCAGGCTCTTCTCCAGGGAGTCCTTCCTTCTCATCAGGTGGCCAAAGGATTTGAGCTTCATCTACTTTAGGCAGAGGAGGCACTAAATGGGGTTGGTTTCCCAGGACAGATGGAAATGGGAAAACGGCTGCTTTCTCTCTGCCCCCCTTTTCAGCGTTTGTCTGTGCATCCAGGGGGAAGCAAAGTCCAGCCGTTGCGCAGGCCAGACGGGCAAGGCCGGCTTGCGCGCACCCCACGCGCTGCCCACACCCGCGCTGCGCGAGCGGAGCCCCCGCGTCCCCCGCGCTGCGCCCGCGGCTTGGGAAGCGGACCGATCCTGCTTAGCGGAGGGTGGGTGCGCAGCTCAGCTCCGCGAGGCAGGCGCCGGCTCGTTCGCGGAGCGCCCGCCGCCTTGCTCTGGGCTGCGCTCGCGTCCTGGGCCAGGGCCAGGGCCAGGGGCAGGGCCAGGGGCAGGGGCGAGATGCGCGCTCGAGCGGAGGTGCCCGGCCGGCCCGCGCAGCTCTGCCCTCCGCGCGCGAGACGGGGGCGGCGGCCTCTGTGCAGCCGGGGGCTCCTCCGCCGAGCCCGTCGTGGGCCTTGGGGCCCGCAGCCCTGCGCCCCCGCCGGGACAGGCCGTGCCCGGCCTCGGCGGAGTCGGAGCCGGAGCCCGGGCCGCGCAGAGGCGCCTTCGCGGGGCGCGACGGAGACGCCGGGCCGGGGGAGGGCGGGCCGGCCACGCCGGGCTGAGACCCAGAGCCGGCGGCCTCGGGAATGGATTTATGCATTTATTTAAAATATGTATATGCCGTCCTATTCGCAGAAACGCCTCAGGACGGCTTGTAATATAAAATATCACATAAATAACGTTGATCACTAATAAGCCAGAAAATCCCCGTGCACTCAAACTCTGAGCCTGATGATCAGCAAAAAACACGCTTGGCTCATCCCAGAGTGAACATCAATCAAAGGCGACGGCTCTCTTCGTATTATCATTCATTCTTCTTCTTCCTGGCTCTCCACAAAAAAACAGCTCCTGGAGAATGCGGGCATCGATCCCGCTACCTCTCGCATGCTAAGCGAGCGCTCTACCATTTGAGCTAATTCCCCACCATGCAAGCAGCGGCCTCGGGCTTTCCCAGCTGTCGGCGGGCAGAGAGCGCGCATGCTCGCCCGGACGCAGGGCTCGCTCGCTCTCTCGCAAGGCGCGCCCTCGGTGCGCGCACCTCTCCAAACGGCCCGCGGCGGCGCCGTGCAGCCTCGGCCCCCTGCGCCCCCGCCGTGCGTGGCGTCTGGACGCTACACCGGGGGGGGGGGCGCGGAGGCCGATGGGGAGCCGCGTAGGCCCCCCCCCTGCGCACGCCCCCCTTTCCCCCAGTGGTGGCGCGGGGCAGCTGTTCTTTCCCCGCCAGCTGCAAGGGGGCAGCTCCGAGGGTTTGCCTCCCTCCGCGCTCTGCGTCGGAACGGAGCCCTGTCCTCGCCAGGACCCCGAGCTAGGAGTAAGCGGCGAAGCGCTTTGGCCGGGGCGACTTAATTTATACTGTTCCTTTATATTATTCTATGGAAGTTTATTTATGGATGTGAGCCGCCCCAAGGCTTCGGCGGATGGGGCGGCATAGAAGTCTCATTCATTCATTCATTCATAAATAAATAACGGCCAAGTTTGCTGATGAACGAGCCGCGAAATGACAGCTCCGTTTGATGTAAGCAAGCGCCGAGAAATGCATTGTTGGGGCGAGACATCCCAGCTCCGAAGAAGGCGGACTCCACGCGGGCGTCTTCAGGAGCAGAACAGGAAAGAGATCTGCGTGGGTCTTACTCGCCCGGTCCAGATAGATCTTCGGCGCTCCTGCGTTTGGACTGTTGCGCTCAGTTCTGGTCTCCTGACCTGAAAGGGGATGTTAAGGATGGGAAAAGTTCAGAGAAGGCAGTGAAAATAGTCCAGGCAGCTCCCCAGCGAGGAGTAGCAACCACAGCTCGGACTGATTACTTAGGAAAAAATCAAATAAAGGGGGATATGACAGCGGAGTTTAAAATGGCGTGTGGGTGTGGAGAAACGCTCGCACCTGGGGTCTTTGAAGGGTGCCAGACAGACATGGGGTGGCTCGGGGCGGGGGTCTCTCCAGGGCTATTTGTACTGACGGCATCAGAGGCAATGTGTCTTTGTACACTGGCTGCTGGGGAACATGGGCCAGAGGTGCTGTGGCACTTGGACACCACTTGCGGGTTTTCCGTGGGCCGCGTGAACATAACGCTGGTCTTGATGGACCCTTGGCCTGATCTTCTCGTGTTCCTATGTTCTTGGGAGACTCCAGGGTCCAGGAGCCGAGACTTCGAGGAATCCCATGGCCACCCAAGCATTGTAGGGGCGCCTGCTTCTTTGCAACTCCTAAACTGCTCTCCCATCATCTTACAATCTTAAAACAGTCAGCAGTTTACATCACTTTTAAATTAAATTTAAAATGCATAATTCAGCATTCCGTACACACCTGCGGCATTATTCAAATGGTGAGTTGGAGGGAACTCGTGATAGATGTACATGAAATTTGTTTGGAGAAATATGCATAGGATAAGTCTATTAATTAAATGTAAACCTTTTAAAAAGGAGTTTTATCTTGCCAGGTCCTATGCTCATGTACTTCAGGCTTTTCCCCACAACCTCTACCATCATCAACCCAATAAAGCTATGGAATTTTATTTTATTATTTCATTTCATTTCATTTTTCCATAACTGACCAAAAAATGCTAGGAGGTGATGTGGTGAGAAAGCAAATTGACCTAAGAAATCGTCCTTGATCTACACAGGCAATGGACTGAGGTGCTACAGTCCTGAAATAGTATATTGGACTGTACCACTTCAGGTTGCAGACGGGAGGTGACACTGGGGAATATCCCCCTACACCTAAAAAGACCCAAAACTCAGAGCAGGAAAAGGAACGAGCAAGGAAAATGTTTCTAGCTACTGCACTAGCTTTCTACCGGCAGTGAACACGGATTTTAGTTCTACCTATTCTTACAGCGGAGGCATTAAAAGCACGATTCATTCTGCACCCCCTCTCAGTCTGAAGTGGCAAAATCCATTCTGCCTGTACCACCTGCAGGGATGGGGGGCTGGGAATCTACAAGGACACTCATTGCCTTAAGCTCTCATCATGGTGTCCGCGTCCTGCATTCCTCACTGATGGCACATGCAGCCCCTGTGTCTGCACAGCCACGGATTCCGTGCCGTCTTCCTGCAACACGCACACACCCCCTCATGCGATGGGTCGGAGTCGCCCCCTCCAACTAATTCCCCATGTCCCATTCTCTAGTCCACTTGGCCTGGCCACACACCCCTTCACTTGATTTTGGCCATTTTGGGATGGCCTTGTAGGTGCACAGCGGCTTGTCTACAGGCCCTTGTTGCTGTTCTTTCCCTCGCGCAAAGCAACAGCTGCCCATGGGTCTCCTCCGACGTGCTTTCTTACATCCCAGCCGTAGCAGTAGCTGTTGATTGCTGCATCTTTGCTCTTTGGGGAGACCCATGCGTTGAGAGGGAGGCTATGAAACAGCAGAGGCCCCGATCCTTTACAGAAGCAACCCGAATGAACATGCCCTGTGCCGCGAGTCTTGAGAATCCTGACGGTTTTCTGACAGCGCTGCTTTGCCCCCGAAGCCAGACCTGGGAGAAGTTTTCCCACTATAGGCGTGCGATGCCAAGAAGTGGCTTCAGCGCAGCCATGTGGGGTGAAATTCTTTGGGCTTGTGGAAGAAGAATTGCTGCCTTGCTCTCCAGAGAAAGTGGCTGTAATGCTCCATCCCATGACTGCAGAAAGGGGTCAATCACAGCCCCCTACAAAACAGCCGTGGAACCATGCAGTGCTGGAAGATCGGCGGCTGCTGAAGTCTTTCTCGAAACATGCCTTGCACCCGAGGCTCCGTTTGGGGTACAGTACAGCTCGGCTGCATCCGAGAAGTAAGTATTCCACCCGTGTATCTAATCACACGTGCAGGAACGGACAGCCCTGGGTGGTGTGCTGGGTGATGACATGTTCTTAGTGGGAATATATAGTTTGGTGTTTTCGTGAGGTTCACTGCAATATACTTTCTTGTTTCAGATGATGGATGGATCTGGGAAGCTGGGGATCTTTTGCAACAACAGCTTTTTTGCCATCTCCCCCCGAACGACAGAGAAATGACCCCAGAGGCCCACGGTTCATATTGGGAGATGTATATGTGCAGAGATTGGGCAGAGTGGGAAAGTCACGAGGCCTCTGTCTTCAGGAGCTCTGCACTTCCAGAGGAAGGGAAGCTGGTCTCCTCATTCCAGGCAGCCTCCTGCCTCAGAATTAGAGCCACTCCGTTTCTTCCAAGCCTGTCATTTGCAGAGTAAAGCATTTGGTGTTTGGCTGCCTGAAAAGGGACAGCCTTGAAGGGGCGGGACGTTCAGCCCTTGCATCTCCTGCTTCACGGTTTCCAGTCTGCCTGGATTCATACCTCTCACGTTCCACCTTCCGATTCTGTATGTGGTGCCGGCTGGACTTTCCTTTCATCTCTGCTCCTCTTGGCTACTAGACAACGTGGGTCTAACAGCATTGTTAGTGACAGTGCGGTTTGCACCTGCCCAGTCCCCTTCCCCGGGAGGACGTCGAGTCCCTTCCAGCCTCAGAGGCCTCATCTGCTGGCACCATCGCCTGTTCCATTCTGGGGTGTTTCATCACAGGGTTTCCAGGGCAAGAAGACAAGAGTGGCTGCGTTTCCCTGCACGGCACAAGCCAGAGTTGGCTGGAAGATCACTGCCATTGTCTGAAACCTCTCTCAGTGTTGCTGCTTCCAGCTGCTGCTGCTGCTGCTGCTCCCAGGATTTTCTCCACCGCATCCCCACCAGAGAAGGCAGTGCTCTTCTGCCAACATGACCGTCCCGCCCGCAAAGGGTGGACACCTGCGCCTGCTGACCATTCGGCCCAGGGTGGCCCCTCCAGGAGAGCAGGCTAGCGAGGCAACCCGGCCTCCTGGAGGCACAGCTCCCAGCTCCTCCGCCACTCCCAGCTGCATTCAGGAGAGAAATATGGAGAAAAGTTACCTGCCACCAACTCATCGGCACCAATTCTTACAACTCTTACCCTGCTCACAACTCTTGGGGTGGCGGGTAGAATTATGGCATCCCCTCTTGGGATACTGTGCAGCTCTTCAAAGCAGGAGCGGCTGGTTCTGTGATCCCCCAGCTTTGCACTGGGGTTTCTCTCTCTGGGGGACTCCAGCCTCACACCCTGGGGTTCTGGTCGGCATTACACTGCGGAACGCCAGCGGCCCTGGCTGAGCACGTATGAACCACAACCTCGAAGTAGCCAGTGTTTCGGTGGCTGGAATGGAGCCGTTCCTGTATTTTCTGCTCCCTCCAAACATCTAGGACAGCGAGAATTTCTGGGGGTCTCCAAGGGAACGTCTCTGCTCTTTGTCCCATCTTCTAGCCCTGGAGAGCCTCCAGCTACGGGGCAACATACAAATGTGATACATAAGTAATAAATATAATAAAAAGAAGAGGTGATGCAGGGGCAGACTGAGGACAGATACACAAGTGTGCATGAAAATAAGCACTCACAGTAGTTACATGATGCAGGAGAAGGCAGGAATTGCCCCTCCCCCCCCCAAAAAAAAACCCCAGCTACACTTACAGGCAAAAGGTTGCCGATGTAGTAAGTTTTTATTATTTTTTTATTTTTTATTTATTTAAAAATTGGTATGCTGTCCATTACTGTTGTCTCTGGACGGCTTACATTATTTCAGATCACAATAAAATAAGATAAATTAACTATTCCACACTGAGCATCATTTAAAATAAATTAAATTACTATGTGTTAAAATATTGGCCAAATAATAAGGTCTTGACCTGGCGCCGAAAAACATATAATGACGACCCCAGGTGCACCTCTCTGGGGAGAGAATTCCATAGTTCAATAACAGATCTTCATAATAGACCAACTTAATAGATCTAATCTATGTTAATAGGGCAAATCTATCATCTTAATAGATCTGATAAGAGATCAGTAAGATTAATATGGAATGCAATAAATTCAACTGAGTTCCAGACACCATATTCCTTATGCTAGTAAAACCAGTGAAAGAGGGAATGTTCTTCTCTTGAACCGCCTTAGGCTCTGTGAGCAAGATGGCAGCTGGAACAAGGAACTGCCTACGGACGGAGCTCTTTGGCAGCCAAACTTCGAATCCTCCCCACACTTGTGCTGGCTCCCTTCCGCTCCGTGAATGCAGAACGCCCCCAAAAGTAGCATCTTACATTCAGGAGTACTTTATTCTCTACTCTAGCACAGCCCATGCGGATAGAACCGGGGGCTCCGCAGAAGCGGGGGGGAGATGGCATGAAGGATGGCCAGGAAATGGTGCCTAAGTGTCTTCCGGTTGGGCAAAAATAAACGCAATTTGGAAGGACCTTTTTGCATTTGAGACTTCTCTGAAATGCTTGGTGGTGAAAAGAGAACTGGGCAAGGATTTGGGAAAGAGGGTGAAATTAAGGTGCAAACTTCCTCCAATCTAACAGTGAGAATTGATTCTCTCCACAAATGCAGAGGTGTGCCGAACCAGATTAGAATATTTTTTAAAAGGGTAAAAATATCGATCACAAAAACGTTGGGAACCAAGGCATAGGCAGACATAGGGTGCTAAATAGTGGCCCAAGGTCCCCTGGGGTGTTAGAAAGTTTTAAAATTCACCTACTTACAGACTACAAAAATAAATTAAAACTGTTCTTTTTTAATGAGCACTCAGAGCAGGAAAGGAATATTGCAGTGAAGTCAGATTAAATGCAAAGCCTTTAGCCGCAGCAATGCTTTTCAATTTATGTTCTTCCAACCAATGGTGGGATGCAAGGATACGTTAAAATTCACAGTTACTTGTTTCTGATACAAAGCAGGTAAGTTTTGGTGTTTGCTACTGCAGAGCTTTGCATATTTAAAAAATGAGACAAGGAATGTTTCAACAGTTTATTCAACCTCTGATGAAAAACCTAGGGAAAACGGTGGGGAAAAACCCTTTAGCACCATAATTCAAGCCAACAGTGGATTCCCACCTCCCTCAAATGATATTGGTGATCTTAGTTTTGGGAACTTTTAGCCACACCCTCCAGGAAAGCGGGGACAAACCCAGGTGACCCTGCACAACATAGGAAGAAAAATCAGAATAATCTGGCCATGAAAATTCTGGAATAAAAGGACAGGGAAAATGCAACGGGAAAATGAGCAAGGTCATGCACAGCTGGAGTTATCCAGGCATTGCAATACTGAGAGAAAGTTTGGTGCAACAGCAGCCCTGATGCCCTTTCATCCTAAACAGAGCCTTTTTCCGCCAAACAGCGATGGGGGATCTTTATGACAGTCTGGAGTGCCACAACCATCATGGCCACTGCCGGAGAATTTGCTTCCACAACGAAAGGTCGATCGGCACTTGCACCAACAGGCGGCAACTCTGCTGCAAGTGAAGGGGGCCGGCCGGGGTTGCGTTGGACCAGGAAGCACACCGAGCCTCGAGGGAGACCCGGGTAATGCCCCCAAACTGGGCGAAAGGAAGCCACATCCAAATCATGCACGTTTTGACTGCATCTTTCAATAAACTGGGCATTTCAAAGTAATTTTAACATGAGCTGAAGAAGTTCTGTCGAAAAATACCTGGTGGATTTGATTTTCAAGGTTTGCACAAGTGTATCCTTCTGAATTTCTTTGCTCGTCTAAGTGTCTTCCGGTCGGGCAAAAATAAACGCGATTTGAGGGGCTTTTTTGCATTTGAGACTTCTCTGAAATGCTTGTTCAGTATTTCTACACAGAGTGAACAGGAGAGAGTTTTGTGCCAGCAGGGGGTAGTATTCACCCAGTTTCCACCCAGGATTCACCAGCCATCATCCAACTGGCGGCCGCTTTCTTTCTGCCTGGTCCGTATTCATGCCAGGCCAAGCACCTGTGCTCAGATGAATTGCTTCTCCAAACTGAGATTCTTTCAGTGACAGAAAAACAAAAGCACCACACAGATCAAGCAATAAAAAAACGTCTGGGAACGGAGGGCCAGAATCATGCGAACTACAACAAAATATATCCATTCAGCTCTCCTTCTCTACACACAGGTGCAATTATTTATTTATTTATTTATTAAAACATTTTTATGCCGCCCCATTCGCCGAAGCCTCGGGGCGGCTTACAACAATAAGTTAAAAAATAATTATAACATTAAATTAAAAAATATAAACATCAAGTTAAAAATACAAAAATACCAATATAAAATAAGCCGCCCTGGCCAGATAAAATCCAATAATATTAACAATTAAAATGCCGCTTAAATAAAAAGGTCTTCGCCTGGCGCCGAAAAACAAATAACGACGGCGCCAGGCGGACCTCTCTGGGGAGCGCATTCCATAGATTGGGCGCCACCGCAGAGAAGGCCCTCCTCTGGGACCTCACCCTCCTAATTTCCTTCACGGAGGGTTCCCGGAGAAGGGCCTCTCCCGCAGATCTCAGGGGGTGGGTGGGCGTATATGGATGTAAGCACTCCTTCAGGTAGCCAGGACCCAAGCCGTTTAGGGCTTTATAGGTCATCACCAACACCTTGAATTGGGCCCGGACTTCAATGGGGAGCCAGTGAAGCTGATGGAGGACTGGAGTCATGTGACCATAACACCCCGTCCCCGTCAGCAGCCTGGCAGCTCTATTTTGAACCAATTGAAGTATCCGGACCGTCTTCAAGGGGAGCCCCACGTAGAGCGCGTTGCAGAAGTCCAGACGGGAAGTCACCAGCGCGTGTGTCACTGTCGCGAGGCAATTACCTTAGCACAAGCTCTTAAGGGTCAGTTCATACGAGATTCATTCCCTCCCACCTTTTTAAAATTCCTTTTATACAAATAATAGAACAAATCTTCTATTCTTCTCCTCCTTTCCATATGTTCTTTTTTAATTTTAAAATATTTCAAAAATAAGATTAAAGCCATAGCTGATCAGCAAGGAAAGCCACCTAGAACAAGGACACCTTCAAGAAGCACCGAGATCGGGGCAGTGCCCATGCCTGCCTGACCTCCAGCGGCAGGAGGTGCCAAAGGAATGGAGCCACCACAAAGAAGTCCCTGCTCCTGGAGGCAGCCAGGCGGGCCGCAGGTGCTTGGCATCCGACGACTGTGGTGACCAGACATCCTGGTCAGCCTGGAGGCAGTCTCTCGAGTACCACGGCACCCAGTTGTCTAGAGCGTTATACGCTGTCACCAGGCCAGGATACACTAGTGCAGCTCCTTCGGCAAAGGAAGGGCATGCTGCAAAGGGGCAGCTCCCGGCAGCTGCACTTTGCGGTGGCCCAGAGCAGCCGCCAGGCATCTCCCACTCTGCACGACTCTGGTGCACCCACAACTGGAGTGCTGTGTTCAGTTCTGGGCTCCACATTACAAGAGGGATATGGCAAGGTTGGAGTCAGTGCAGCGAAGGGCCACGAGGTTGGTGGCTTGGGGGGGACCCCCGAGGGGCAGGGGTGCAGTGCAGCCAGATGGCCTAGGGACCCGCATGGGAGGCCTCCCTGCCCGGCTCTGCTCTTGGCCGCAGCAACACGGGCCGTCCTTGTGGCTCCCTTGCTTGTGCTCCGGCTCTCTGGTTCACCTCGTCTGCCAGGTTAGAGCCAGGTTGGAGTCAGTGCAGCGCAGGGCCACAAGGTTGGTGGCCGGTTTGCAGGGGATGCCGTATGAGGCGGGACTGAGGGAACTGGGTCTCTTCAGCCTGGAGAAGGGGACAGTCCGAGGGGACCTGTTGGCGACATACAGGTAAGTGAGGGGTGTCACACGGAGGTGGGTAGAGGCCTGTTCTCCCCTGCAGAGGAAGGCAGGACGCGCTCCAAAGGAGCAAAGCTCAGGGAACCAAGGTTCCATTTGGATGCCAGGAAGCACTTCCGGACAGTCGGGACCCCCAGGGTGTGGAATGGGCTTCCCTGGGAGGCGGTTGAGGCCCCATCGGTGAGGGTGTTCAAGGACAGGCTGGACATGCACATGGTGGGCATGTCATGAGTGGAGCTGGCTGGAGCTGGAGGTCAGACTAGATGACCCAGGAGACTCCTTCTGACTTACTCTGTTCTATGCTTCTATCTCCACCTTGCAGCAAAGGTGGGCAAATTTTGCAAATGCCCGGGCTTCTTCCATTACACTCACTGCTGCAGTGGACAGACTATTCACTGCCAACAGTTGGTGCATTTTTCTATCTCACTGGGCAGACAATGAGCAGAAAGTGCATGCAAAGGATTTCTACCCAGCCAGCATGCAGAGCGATCAGAGGCACAGAGTTGTAGGCATGTCCTTGTTTTTAATGCCACGTCTTAGAATATTTCCCAGCAATTTTTTGCATTTTAATAGAACTAAATATGCATACAATTCAAGAAAGTAAAATAAATGGTCTGCAGGTCCACATGACCTTGGAAAATACTATTCTGCCACAGAACCCCTGGGTGGAAAGCCAAAATATTTGGACTCTGTCTTGGATTTCTCCAACAATCCTAGGCTCACCAGGAAAACCCCAATGGCTCTTGTGCATAGAGTACTTAAGTAAAATGAAGCCCCAGTGTTTGCCAGAGTTTAAGAGCTCCTCTGCCCAAGGTTTTTAGCCTGCTGCTTTCTTAAGGTTTCTGCTTCCAAGCTCAGCTTCTATGTTTCAATGTTATTATTATTATTATTATTATTATTATTATTATTATAACATTTCTATGCCGCCCCTTGCCGAAACCTCGGGGCGGCTTACAACATGATAAAATACAACTGAAATACAATAGTACATAATAAATTACCATTAAATATAACAATACAAAAAATGCATTTACAAATACAAAATTAAAATTATCAGTATAAAATAAAAATATAGGAGGAGAAAGAGAAGGAAGAAGAAGTTGCCCTGGCCAGATCATATGTTTTAACAATTGAAATGATGTTTAAATAAAAAGGTCTTTACCTGGCGCCGAAAAACCAGTAACGACGGTGCCAGGCGGACCTCTTTGGGGAGTGAATTCCATAGGTTGGGCGCCACCGCAGAGAAAGCCCTCCTCCGGGTACTTACTCTCCTAATTTCTTTCATGGAGGGTTCCCGGAGAAGGGACTCTCCCGCAGATCTCAAAGGGCGGTCGGGCATATACGGACGTAAGCGCTCGTTCAGGTAGCTAGGACCCAAGCCGTTTAGGGCTTTGTAGGTCATAATCAACACCTTGAATTGGGCCCGGGCTTCAATGGGAAGCCAGTGAAGCTGATGGAGGACTGGAGTCATGTGAGCATAACGCCCCGTCCCCGTCAGCAACCTGGCAGCTCTATTTTGCACCAATTGAAGTGTTCGGACTGTCTTCAGGGGAAGCCCCACGTAAAGCGCGTTACAGAAGTCTAGGCGGGAAGTCACCAGCGCGTGTGTCACCGTCGCCAGGCAGTCGTATTCCAGGTAGGGGCGCAGCTGATTAATCAGCCGAAGCTGAAGGAAGGCGTTCCTCGCTACCGCTGTCACCTGAGCTTCCAAAGAAAGCTCCGGGTCGAGGAGTACACCTAAGCTGCGGACCTTATCCCTAAGAGGGAGTGTTGCACCATTCAGGACCAGGTCAAATCCACCCTCTCCGAAACCCGATCCGCCAACCAACAGGACCTCCGTCTTGTCTGGGTTGAGTTTCAGTTTATTGGCCCTCATCCATTCCCTTACCTCGGCCAAGCACCGGTTCAGCACAGCCACTGCCTCACCTGGATTAGTGGAGAATGAGAGGTAAAGCTGGGTATCATCAGCGTATTGATGATTCCGCAGCCCACACCTCCTGATGACCTCTCCCAGCGGTTTCATATAGATGTTAAATAGCAGAGGGGACAGAATGGAGCCCTGTGGTACCCCATGGCATAGCTGCCATGACGTAGAGACATGGTCCCCCAGCACTACCTTCTGGAATCGACCGTCGAGATAGGAGCGGAACCACTGCAAAGCAGTGCCTCCAACCCCCAATCCCGCAAGTCTATCCAGAAGGATACCATGGTCGATGGTATCGAAAGCCGCCGAGAGGTCCAGAAGAACCAACAGGGATGTACTCCCCCTGTCCTTCTCCCTGCACAGGTCGTCGTACAGGGCGACCAAGGCAGATTCAGTACTGTACCCGGGTCTGAAGCCGGACTGAAAAGGATCCAGATAATCAGTTTCCTCCAAGAGTGCTTGGAGTTGTCCCGCCACCACTCGCTCCAGCACCTTGCCCAGAAACGGGATGTTGGCCACAGGTCTATAGTTAGTGGCCATCTCTGGATCCAGTGACACTTTCTTCAGGACCGGTCGTATTACCGCCTCCTTTAAAGGGGCAGGCACTCGACCCTCCCTCAGAGAAGCGTTAACCACTTCCAAAATCCAGGTCCCAATCCCGTGCTTGGAGTTATTTATTAACCAAGACGGGCAAGGATCCAATAGGCACGTGGTGGGACGTACTCTTCCAAGCACCTTGTCCACATCATTGGGCCGCAATAATTGAAATTCTTCCAGTAATTTTGGACCAGACGGTGGCATTGGCGACTCCTCAGAGACCTCTGATTCATTAGTGGAGTCCAGCTCGTGACGAATCTGA